CTATTCGTTTAAAATTATCCTTGCAGGCGGTAAGTTCAGCTGGTTATTTGCTCTCTTTCTGGTAAGCAGATCTAAATTTGGGATAGCTATGTCTAAACCATTTAGCCCATATTGCGTATAAGGTGTCGCGTAGGTTGAAAATATCAAGTAATAAATGCCACTACATAAATGTAGAAATCTTATTTATACTTGTAATTCTGTACACTTGTTGTTGGGTTGATTTTTATTACTCTCACAAAAACAATGGTTTAAAAAATGCTTCTTAAACTTTTTGACCATGGAGCCACCACGTGGCAGCCAACGTCTTATATAAAAAATGTAACGTTAGTGTTCCATTCGTATACCATACTATTTACAATAATATCTGAAATGTTGATTGATTGCTTGAAGTTAATACAGTGATGAAACCCAAATCTAGGAGAACGTTTTGGCATAATATTGAACAGTTGGTGTTAACTATGCGATTTATGATCATATATGATTCTTTTTTTTTAATGCACTCACAAAAACATATAAAGCTGTTAAATAAGACAAGTTCAACAAGTGAAATAAATATGAAATATTCTGTTTATCAAAACTCCTTCTGGTAGTTAGTGAGGAAAGTTACTGTCAACTGCAGAGAATCTTTACTGTATGCAAGTTTTAAAACAGCTTGAGTAAACAGCTTATGTGGTACAGGAATCACGAATTTCAATATTTATGTGAAGATATGAAATCAACACTAAAATTATGTCGTAATTATGTAGATAAAATAAACTGAGTATATATCCTGATTATACAGACATCGTGGACTCAATGAACTGATTATATCTGCTGGTTATTTAGACAGTATAGAATTAATGAACTGATTGTATCCCCTCATGATATATACATATGTAGTTAAAACCTGATGAACTGGTTATATGGGCACGATATCCCGATCATATATACAGGATTGGCCTAACTATATGATTATGTGTTTTAGCTCGATAGACAGAGTGAACTTATTATATGCCCTGATCATATAGGCACGAAAGACATGAAGAACTGGTTATATATCCTGATCACATAAGCAGAGTGACTCTGATGAACTTGTTACATCTCATATTCATGCAGACACGTTTAACTTAATGGATGTGTTTAAATGATCATATCTCTTGATCATACAGAAAGTATGGACCTATTGAACTCATTGGATCTCCTGATTATATAGACGCAATGGACTGATTATCTTCTCCGATCATAACGATAGGATAGAGATAATGATCTGGCTATTTTTCCTAACCATAAAGACAGGATAAACCTGATGATCTGATTACATATCCTGATCATATGGACATATTTGAATATATGTCTTGATTATACAGACAGAATATATGTAAACTACATTCGATGTCCAATAAAATGCTGTTCGACTGTGAAATATCTAAAAAATCAATAAAGAAGGTTTATACATATATATAATCTAATCAAGAAATATTCTTTATTCCAGAATTAGAAATTCTTAAAAAAATTTTCTTCTGCTTTCAGTACCTTTGCCCCCCCCCCCAGTGGCACAGCGGTATGTCTGCGGACTTACAACACTAGAAACCGGGTTTCGATACCCGTGGTGGGTAGAGCACAGATAGTCCTTGTGTAGCTTTGTGCATAATTAAAAACAAACAAACAGTACCTTTAAATGTATTTCATGTAGAAATCGCTGATAAACAATCCTTTACTTTACTCTGACTATATCTTTCAATAGGGTGTATATATTTCTTGCTTGTATCAGTTAGGCCACAACAAAACAAATAACTTATTCTTTTCAATGTGGAACATAAAAGTTTCATCAGTCCAATTACCCGAGATCAATTTATCTCTCCAAATTTAAAACCTTCGAGAATTTAATGAATTTTTTTTTTTTACTTCTGATGAAAATGATATTTAGTAATAAGTGGAAGACATCAGAGCTGGATAAAACATTCTGTGGTCCTTTATACTTCACACGTCATCACTACTGGGTAGAGATGTAGTAAACTCGTTTTTTTACCAATGACAAAAATTATCTACATATAGTCTTCGTCAAAGTGTTTCTATGTTGTTCTATATTGATGTTATCGTCTACATGCATGGAGTAGTTATTGAGTAAATGCCCGAGTAGTAACAGAGTATGATCGGACAAACCTGTACGAGTTGTTATTCTGGTCTGTATAAGCTGTTTTGAGCGTTTGTTCGTAAAAACACACATGGACACCTGTTTTGTATAAGAGGGTGTGCTTTTGGTATGATGTTTTCGAAACAAATCAACACTTCAGACAATTTCTCTGTTCTTGGTGTAGGGTCATCTTAATACAAAATGTGTAAACATTTTGGCCAAGGCTGTAGTTAGAAGTAATAGGCTGTTTTTTCACGTGATGACCCATGGCTTTATATGTGTATATAATATACGTGTTCTGAAACTACTAACTTTCAATCCATAATTACTATTACGTTGACTCGGGCTTGGAGAGATGGTTTCTCATAATGAAACCAAGAAGCCAAGAAAGAAAAATTAAAGCTAAAAAAGGTTACTACAATGGATCGCTGAAGGTCCACGAGATAATTGAAACTTATACCCTGTAGCATTTCATCTTATATGTTCACATACCTGTATGAAGAACGGAGTAAAACTTAAGGTGTTTAAATCAATGAATAACGTTCTTAAAAGAAAGAATGAGAAGCACCTATCTTCCAAATTACCCTCACCAGCAAGCAAGGTCATCATTTACTTTCATTCAATATTGACCAGTGTGTTAATCTCTGAATTACCCTCACTAGCAAGCAAGGTCATCATTTACTTTCATTCAATATTGACCAGTGTGTTAATCTCTGAATTACACTCACTAACAAGCAAGGTCATCATTTTCTTTCACTAGCATGTATAATAATTATCTATATGTATCAATACAATACTGACCAGTGTGTTAATCTCTGTATTACCCTCACTAGCAAGTAAGGTCATCATTTACTTTCATTCAATATTGACCAGTGTGTTAATCTCTGTATTACCCTCACTAGCAAGTAAGGTCATCATTTACTTTCATTCAATACTGACCAGTGTGTTAATCTCTGTATTAACCTCACTAGCAAACAGGATTACCATCTATATTCTTCAGTTCAATACTGACCAGAATGTTCATCTTTAAATGATCCTTTACTAGTGAATGATATTATCATCAATAACCATAAATTCAGTGCTGACTAGGATGTTCGTTTGAAAACTATCCTCACTAACAAACGGCATCACTTGTATTCATTACTTAGTTCTTATCACTAAGTCTTTAAACAGTGGTATACTAGTGGTAATATTTACGAGTTAAAAGGTGGCCGATATCATATCCTTTATAATAGTTGAGACTGTGTTTAATATTTTTGTAAATTGGGCAAATATCAGGATAGTAAGCTCTACATGACAATCTAGTAACCAGAATTGTCATGTTAGGTTTTATACGTAGGTATTAAATCAATATTAACCTTTAGCGCCATCTATGTTTGGCGTCTTATCAATTACCAGGATAAATAAGTTTCAACGCGATAGGTAGTGTTTTCTCAATAGTTATAGATTAATTATACTTTTACTGTATTCCCAGCTCCGATAGTTGAAAAGCTAAATACGTTTTCTTTCTCTTACAAATCATGAATGATTTATTTTATATTTTGTTTTGATTTACAAAGTCGTCTTGGGTATCACAAATATTTTCATGAAGTGACTTTAAAGATAATGCTTCTCGTTATTTTATTATTGTTTAGATACAACTTAGACTGAACACAAGCAATTGAAAATTCAGTTTATTACCTCACTGTTAAAAACGTTTAATAAAAAATAATTAAGAAGTTTTAAGTATTTGATTGTTGTTAAAAACAAAGCTACACAGTTGGCTATGTGATCTAAGTTATAAGTAAAATAATAATTTGACATCCAAGTTTAAATAAAATAATAATTTGACATCTAAGTTTTAAGTAAAATAATAATTTGACATCTAAGTTTAAATAAAATAATAATTTGACATCTAAGTTTAAATAAAATAATAATTTGACATCTAAGTTTAAATAAAATAATAATTTGACATCTAAGTTGTAAGTAAAATAATAATTTGACGAAAACATTCGGAGTATCAAATTTTCAGATTTTCTTAATACTAGTGTAAAACGTAAAGAATTTAGTTACGTTTAAACTATAGAGATAACAATTATTTAATGATGTTGAAATTTTATAGTTTTTACATCACTTTTGCCCATAAATAAAATATATTAGTAAGTTTCAATCTTCTCTAGCCAAAGTGAATATTACAATATACAACATCAAAAGAAAGAAATAATTTTATTGTTCGTAAGTTTCTTATCAATTAGTTGATTATTGATTCTGAAAATTCAAATAAATAGTTAAAATCAACGTATGAGGAAAAACAATTGTTTGATCACCATTTCGGCTAAGCGACACCTGGCACCTGAAGCTCGTTTTGCCCAAATGTTGATCACATAATTATTTTTCTTACATAGAAACTCTAACCATTTGTGCACGTTCAGGTTTTATTGCATTTTTGCTGTGGCTACGGGTGACTATTATTTTCCAACGGGGATTTAGGCTTAGATATTCAATTCCCTGTATAAATGTTTTTTCTGTATCACACTGAGAGTTACACAATACAGAAACGAGTAAGAGAACCAAATTATTAAAAAGTTTTAAAAACCTAATTATTGTCTTTTATATATCAATATAGCATAAACTTTACTTTTTTCTAAGTATTTAAATGTTTATTTGCTTGTAACAAAACTTGGGTGGTACAGACTACTTAGGATTTTCTCAGTGTTAATAACGTAATCATTAGATTAGAAAGCGGTAGCTTGTAACTTGTACTGACTCTGGGTGACATTAAGTTACAGATGAAAGTTATAATATTTTAGAAAATATTCCAACTTCCACGTAGTAAAATAACCCCCATCCCACGCTCTCACTGTTTCCAAGAAAAACTGAACTTAAAAAAAGAGAGGGAGAAAAAAGTATTGACTCCGTAATTCCACCAATTCAACACCAATCTATGGCGAGACGGTGACGTCATCGCTCCACATACTGCACGAAGCAGTACTTCTGGTAACGCGGACATGTGATGACGTAAGTCGGGGTGGGAAGTAAACTAGAGTATGTCACTGACGCAAACCGAGCGTTGTTACACCGGCCTCAGTTGAATCAGCTAGACTCTAGGATAAACCTGTATATGAGGCTGACAACTTCACTAATCAGAGCTTAGATAGTCGCCAGTGGAGTAGATCGGAGATTTTATCTAGAGAAACCCTGGAAAGAAGTGAACCTTCAGAAAATCAAGATTTTCAGGACCTGAAAGATTTGTTCTTCTTACTTGAGGTAGCTGAATATATTTTGTTTTAATTCTACATATTGGTTTTTGTTTCGTGTTTTTACAATATTCTAGTTGTTTTTGACCTATTAAACAGCGTTGGTGTTTGGTAGTTATATACAGTTCAGTCTATAATTGTAATAGGTGTGTCTGATTTCTTTACATTTTCTCTCGCGGGGAACAAAGTATCCGGATTTTACATAGGATAGTTATCTCATTCTTGTATTCTGTACTTCTCTTATATGAGGTGAAAATATATATATATTATTGAGTTGTTTCCTAGATCAAACATTGCTTTGGAATAACTTCTGTTGAAATGTTTTCTAATTCTATGACTCATTGACTATATGGAGGAGCTCTCAGTGTGATAATTTGTATCGCTGTAATTCGTTATGAAGGAGCTCTCAGTGTGTTATTTTATACTACAAATACTACTTGATCCGGACTACATGTCAGTGAATTGGTGGTTTTTTACGTATTTATAGCTTGGCATGGAAAATGATATCCTCTATAGCGCGAAATCACTTTCGCTTATTTTATGTTTTAGCTTTCCTCTTCTAGTTTTATGTTTTAGCTTTCCTCTTCTAGTTTTATGTTTTAGCTTTCCTCTTCTAGTTTTATGTTTAAAACTAGAAGAGGAAAGCTATGTTTTAGCTTTCCTCTTCTAGTTTTATGTTTCAGCTTTCCTCTTCTAGGTTTATGTTTCAGCTTTCCTCTTCTAGTTTTATGTTTTAGCTTTCCTCTTCTAGTTTTATGTTTCAGCTTTCCTCTTCTAGTTTTATGTTTTAGCTTTCCTCTTCTAGTTTTATGTTTTAGCTTTCCTCTTCTAGTTTT